CCCCAGTTAGGTTAATAAAAGACCTTCCCTTAGATTTGTTCTTGTTGTTCTTGTTGAGTTGCTAAGTCGTGTCTGACTCTTGCGACCCCATGGTAACCCACCAGGCTCCTCTGTCTATGGAATTTCCCAGGCAAGACTACAGGAGTGGGTTGCCATTTCCTTCTCCAGTGGATCCTCCTGATCCAAGGGTGAAACCTGCGTATCCTGCATTAGCAGGTGGATTCTTTACCACTTAACTACTGAGGAAGCCCCACCCTTAGATTTGAGATACCACCAGAATCTATCCATCTTCCTCTCCTGCTTCATTAAAATGAAATCTACTTAAGTGAAAACACTCTGATCTGTAAGGATTTCCCAATGTAGAAATGGTGTTAAATTACAATAGTATGAGGTGATCCAAGAAATTGTGTCAGAAAATGTGGATTATTGTGTTTAACAAACACGCATTGTATTCCTACCAAACACCAGGCCCTCGGCCGGATGCTGGAGGTCTCCGTGAGTTTGCCTTTGAGTACAGGAATTCTCAAATGTTAGAGTGGATAAGGATCACATAGGAAACTAGTTAACAATGCACATTCCTGAACCCACCCCCAGAGTTTTGGATTATTAGATGGGACTGAGGTTTAAGAATCTGCATTTTAACTAGTCCCCAAGTGATTCTATAGCAGGTGGTTTTCACTTGTATCTTGAGAAACCCTGAGTTAGTAGACAGTTCTGACCAGGTATTTAAGTCAACCTCAGGACTGCAAGAGATTGGAAGATACAAAGTGTAAGGTAAAGAGGGTAATGGACATCATTTCAGAGAGAAGTAGAGGGAAGGAGTTGGGTACTGGCAGGAAAAAAAAGAAAACATAAAGAAGGGAGAAATTTGTATCTCTTGATGAAGGCACCAAGTTATTCCTCAGCAGCTGGTGTAGTAGAAAGAGGCCTGGAAAATAGGAGGTGGCAGACATGGATGCAAATAGGCTAAAGAGCCTATTTAGCTCTTTAACTGTGAGCCAGACACTTTGGACACAAAAGAAGAGAATGAAGGAAAGGAGGGAGTGAGGGAAGGAGCAAGGCAGGAGAGAGAGGGAGAGAAGAGGAAGAAATAGAAAGAGGAAGGCCCTGAACCTAGGGGGAGCTTATAGTCCTGTGGTTCTAACTATGTGGCCATGAGCAAGTCATTTGAGGGCTCCCCGGGGTGGGGCTGGGGGGCTGTATGGAGCTCTTTAAAATGAGGCTAGACCTCTGGAAGTAAGGAGAAATAGAGGTGGTGTATGCAAAGGCTGTTTTGTATAAAGAATTGCTAAATGCTGCTCATTACAAATTGATTCTGGCTCAGTTAGGCCAACTGCAAGGACGGATGTAATCATGTCTGGTTCAGCTCCTGGAGTGACTTCCCTTGTCTTTGCCACACCTAACCACCAAAATCACAGAAGTTTGGTAAGATGTTTTCCCTTTTTCTTCTCTGCTCTGAGCTAACTTGGATACGGCTTTGTGCAGGCCTAGGCATGAGATTCCTTTCAGCACGCCCACCTCCAGCTGTTCTCCTTGACCCCAGAACTCTTCCACCTTCTCCCCAAAAAGGGCCAGCTGTTGTCCCAGAAGCCACCAGCCTCCTCCTTGGCCTATGAGCAACTAGTTGGGGGCCAGAGGCTTCACTGGAGGATTCCAAGGACCAAAGGAACTGGCTGGAGGCCCTTGGGGAGGGAGAGACAGGGCAGGCATTAAAATGAAATTAATTGTCTATAAATATTTTTTAATTAAAATTGTAATTCTTATTCCGTGCAAAGGGGTCTAAGAACAACTTTGCTCCAAGTGGCAGGCGAAATGCTCAGCAGCTCTCCCAAAGCCAGGGAGGGGAAGGGAGGTGAGAGCAGAGAAGAGATTCTGTAACTGGTTCTTTCTCCTTTTAGGGATAAAAAGCAAAAGGAGAAAGGCCAGGGAGCTGGTAAGGGATATTCTTGGTGACTCCCCAGGCTGAGGCTCCTAGGGCAGGGGGCTGAGCTTCTTGGGGGCCCTGAAGCTGGAATTTTTGTACTTTCCTTTGTTCTACAAAATTATGCCACCTTCTCACTCCCTTCTTCCCCCTTGCAGGCCCCCGGCCACCAGCCACGAAACCCGCAGTAAGAGCCACCCACGCATTGGCCTGGGGGCCACCCGGGCAGACGGGGGATCAGAAAGCGGGGAGAAAGGGAGAGGGAGAGGCTGGGGGCAGCGGAAATCTCCAACTGGAGACTGAGTGGAAGAAGGGAGAGAGACAGTCTGGAGAAGCGATGGAAAAGGGTAGAAACAAGAGGGTGGAGACAGAGAGCCCACCAGAGGAGATAGGTCCTTAGAAAGACAAAGATACAAATCGGGGAGGAGGAAAGGACAGGGAGGGGAAAGCAGAAAGGTAGCGAAGCTGAGCGGTGTGTAGGGACTCTGAGAAGCAAAAGTCTAGGGTTTGTGGCTGCTCTGAGCCCCTGGGGGGGGGGGGGGGAGGTAATACCGTGAGCTCACGGCGAAGGTCCTAAACCCGTAGAGAGCAACTCACACTCAGCTCAGGAACTCCACCGGCCCGCACTGTGCCGCCGCCTCATTTTGGATGCCCCAAACTTGCGGTTTAGGCGCAGTACACTGGTGGGGGCCCGAGGGGCCTCACTTGGGCCATTTCCGCAAGAGAACTGTGGCCCTCCCACCCTGCCCCCCAGCGGTTCTGAAGCCACGAAGAGAGGGCTAGGGTTCGGAGAGTGTGTCCCAGGGTACCGGCCCCAGGCCTCCTAGCTCTCCCAGATTTCTGACTGCAAAATCTACATGGGTCACCATTGTGTGTGTAGCGGGATGGGGTGGAGGTGGGGGCGGTGGAGAGATCTCTGCAAGAATTAATATCTATTTTATTCTCTTGCTCCTTCAAAGTTTCTCTTTGACAGCCGAGCGACTTCTTGTAAGTCAGAAGAAAGGCAAATCTTCCCTCTTCGGGACCTTGTGATTGCACAAATCCAACATACTGCCACCATAGAGATGCGGCTGGAAAACTCTGGAAGCTGGAAGCGTCGTCATTAGGCAGGAACTCCAGGGTGTCCAGAGACAAATTCCTAAATAAGCCAAGAAACATCAAAGTGGGAGACGGAGGAGAGAGGGGCTGAAAGTCGGATACCACTGGGACAGAGGGCCGGGAGAGTGAGACCCTCACGGAAGCCGAACGAACAGCGGGGCAGGCTCCTCTGTCTGAAAACCTCTCTCCAGGGGCTCAGGGTACCAGCTGTAGGGCCCGGGGCACCCGCAGGGCAGCCACCCTCTGCCCCAGACTCATCATTGCTGAGTCTTTTCTCTTCTGGTTTTTTGTTTTGTTTTTTAATCCTTCAAATACAAGACAAAAATACACCTCATTTATCATCATAGATATATATATATTTCACTCTCACCACATAAATACAAAACATTCAAATATCCAAAACATTCAGAACAGTTAGTAGTCAGGATTCAGTAACACCTACCAGCGTGTGAATCGTTCATTATTTTCTTCACTATTTGCCTAAAAAAAAAAAAAAAAAAAAAAAAAAAAAAAAAAAAAAAAAAAAAAAAAAAGGAAAACGGGGGAAAGCTTCCGACGTAAATAATTTACAATAAAATTACTATTTTTTAAATGCTCTGCGGCTCACTTCGGATGGAGGAATACATTCTTAGATGCTGCAGCACCCGCGGTCTGGGTCTGTGGTTTTGGTCAAAATACGCGTGGCCGTGGCTGTGGGGATGGGCGTTGTCGCGGGGGAAGGGGTGAGGCCGCGACCGAGTGGAGGTCCGGGTTTCTCACTTGGAACCGTGGAAATTCTGTTTTTGTTGTTGTTTTATAGCGAAGGAGGTGGGAAAGGATGCTTTTCCTAACCACGCCGATCCGGATGCGGAGACTACCGACAGAGGAGGCCGGGTCGCCCTGTTGTTCGCGGCTGCCATTGGGAATTTCCAGCGTGCTGGAGGATTGTGTGAATCCGGGGGGTGGGGAAGAGGGATGGGCACTGATTTGTTTCCAAACCTAGCAATGCTGCCCGGAGCCACGGATCCGGGAGACGGTGGGGAGGAGCGGCCGGGATCTACATTACTCTCTCCCAGAGGAGCGTGATGCCGTCGGTTATCTCCCACAGCAGCCTCGGAGAAGATCCTTAATTTTCCATCATTCGCGGCATAGGCATTTCTTTTGCTTTTTTCCCCTTTTTAATTCCTGTTTAAAGTCGTAACACCCGGATCTTTAATTTTGCAATGCCCTGGATGCAATTTCTATCCCGAATTTTCTTACGGCTTCCTAACTCCATCGCTATGAGTTTTAAAAAAATTGCTTCCACTCCACTCGGTTCTGTATGGTAATTACTCTCCTTTTATTGCTGATTAGATCAAACGTATTACCACCGTCGCCTATCACGATGTTTGGTTTATTGTCTGCTGGGATCGGGGTTGGTGGTGATGGGAGTTTTTCTTAAGGGGAGAAGATTCGGCACGATTTGTCCAGCCAGGAAGCTGCGTGTGCGCCGGCTCTCCCATGTCCGCAAAGTGGGGCCCAGCAGCTTCCAAAAGCCCTGGTTTCTCTGGCGAGAGGAAGGAGCCTCCTCCTTTTTGGTCTAACGAAACCTGTCAGCCTTTTCAGCTGGGGTCTGCTTGCAGCTTCCCTTTTTCAAATATTCATAAGCATAATGAACGGCAGCAGCGGCTCGATCTAAAGCAGATGTCCTGTGCTTTGGATTTAGAACCAGTCTTTCCCTCCAGGGCCAGGCACTGGTTGGGGCATCAGGTTGGTTTTCCCCCCAATTCTTTGGATTCTCCTGGATTCAAAAGGAAGTTGGCGCCGGAGGGTGGGTGTGGGAGGACACAGGAGGGGGGTGGGGTAGCCCAAATAGTAGCAGAAACTGGTGGGGAAAGAGAGCTGTCAGAGGCCTCTTGGGAGCCGGGTGCCCAGGTCAGGAGCCCAGGCGCCTAATGCGCGTGAGTCCATAAATATCACCACAATAGATACTATAAATATAAATACAGGGAAACACTTCAAATCAGTCCAGCGCTTTTTTCTCGGCCCCTTCTTTATTGCTGGTCCGGGAGTAAGGCTCGAAGGCCGAGGAGCTCAGGTATCGGGCGGAGAGTTCTTGTAAATTCCCGGCTAGCGAACCGGCCATTGTCAACGGGGCGGAGGAAAGGCGGCTGGCGACGGAGCCAAGCAGCGAGGGCACGGGCAGGCTGAAGAGGCCATGGCCGGCGGCCGGTGCGCCCGCGTGCAGTCCCCCGGGCTCCGCGGAGCGCGGAGCCGAGCGCTCCCGTGGCGCAGGGCGGCAGCAGCGCCGGCAGGCCTGGAGGCGACAGCAGGCGGCCCTGCTCCAGCAGCCGCAGCACGCTGCACGTGGCCGCGGTCTCAGACACCACCGAGCGCAGCTCCGAGTCCTTGCCCTGGTCCTTCTTCTGCTTCGTGCGCCGGTTCTGGAACCAGACCTTCACCTGCGCGCCGGCCGCGGGGAGCGTGGGAGAGAGGGAGACGAGCGTCAAGGCGAGCGGGCTCCCGGGGCGCAAGGGCTCCGGGGGGCTTCCCCCAACTCCAGCCAAAGCCCCATCCCAACCCCAAGCTGGCGCCGGAGAAGTCGGGCCCGGGAGCAGCGGGGCAAGGGCGGCGGGAGTGGGGGTGCTGGGGGGACAAGGGCCGCTAAGAGGGGGACGCAGCTCCCATAGGCTGCGCTTCCGGGCGGGTCATAGAAGCAGGCCTAGGCCGACCCCGGTTACAAACAACAAAGAAAAATGTCCATGACCCTAAATGGGAAGATCAGAAGTTACTCCACTGGGCTACCGCAGTACTCGCAGGAGGACTGTGGATCAGCGCTTCTAAACGCGCGTTTTTCCATGAGAAGGTGTAAGGGCTAAAGGGAAGTAGGAAGTGAGCGTGAATGGGAAGGAGTTATTGCCCTGTCTTTCAGGACCCAAGCCCCTGGCCATAAGCGGCTCGAATTTAGCCCCAGCAGCACTAATTCTGCTGAAGGCTACAAGAGGCTATTTCTTGCTTGTTAGGGTCAGATGGACTATCAACTAACAGCAAGCAGGGAAGATGTCTACACATAGAATCTGTGCAGGATGCATTTTATAAGCCAACCTTTCTCCACCTCCTCACCAGCCGCTGGACTGGAGGGTCTGAATGATGTCCTTAATTTATAACATAACTCTGCTGCTCTCCATCATGGACTTTGGAGTCATGGGAGGAAGTCAGGAGGCTGGGTAGACTAAGTACTCTCCATCAATCTCCACTCTTACTTCCTTCTTACTCTGTCCCTCTTCAGGCCTAACTGGTGGCCCAGATGGCATTTGGCAGCTTTAGGGAAAGGTTATTCTGTCCAGATTTTGTAAACTAAGAGGATGGTAGCAAGAGTAGGGGTGAAGCTACATTCCAACTCAAACTCAAAATGGATATCCAGTATGCTCTGTCCTTGGGTCTCAGCTCTCCCCAGATTCCATATCTAAAATGCTCCCCATCTGTTTCAGAGCTGGACATGGTAAAAGGGACTGGTCCTCAGAAAGAAATATGCCTTACCTAGGCCAAGCTGAAACCATGTCCTGGGCAGGTCCTAAATAACCTCCACAAGGCAAAGCTCTTGGGCCCAAAGACCTCTTGGGCCCAGAGTCCGCATGACCAGTCCCAGTAAAATATGGATTTCGAGTGAAGGAGAAGACCTAAAGCACAATTGTCAGTGCTGGCTCCCAAGGGTCCAGATCTGTTTGCTATCTCATACCTCACACATCACTGGCACTGAAGGTGCCCAGAGTGGATGCTTGGGGCTGGGAATGGGGCTGAGTCCAGTTCAAGGCCAGCAAAGGCATTAAGGATCAGGGCAGCCTGGTAGGCAAAAGCAGATCTCCGGAATGTACACCTTTTTAATCCCTGGTTGTCACCCACAGCTCTGAAACAGGGGTCTTTGGTCCTAACCCCATTCTTGCTGAATGAGCCTGGGTGCCAGGGAAGGTTTCCATCTAAAGAGAGGGTGGTGCCAGGAAATCTGGCCAAAATGGGGTGGCCAAAACAGGGGCAAACATAGGTTCCTCCTCAAGGAGAGGCAAGCAGGGAATTCTCAAGACTAGGGTTTAAAAAGAAACCAAAAGGACAGGATTTGGGGGCCTCCTGAGCTAAGCCAAGGTGGACAGAACATGGGCCCTGGAAGATGTAGGGTGTAGGGGGAAAGGGATGGCTTAGAGAAGGCAGAAAGCATTCACCCCTTCTTTTCCATCCTCCCCAATTCCTCTGCCTCCTGTGGGAGGCTCGGTCCAGAGTCAAGCTAGGAGGTCAGGAAGAGCTGCTGGAGCTGGATGGGGCTGAAGGGGAGGGAGGCTGATGCAAAGAGCTCTGTGCGGCCTGGTGTTTGAGTACCTGCGTCTCGGAGAGGTTGAGCTGCCGGGCGAGCTCGGTTCTCTCTCGGCCCACCACGTACTGGCAGCGCTGGAACTCCATCTCCAGGCGGTAGAGCTGCTCGGCAGTGAAGGACGTGCGTGTCCTCTTGGGCCGATCCAGGTCCAGGCCTTTGGGGAGGATGATCTCTCGGATGGACCCCTTGGCATCTGGGGAAGGGGAGATGTCAAGCATCAGAACCCACCCTCCTGCTTTCCTCCACCTCCCCAAGCCGGAGCTGGCTTCTGAGCCACAGTCCGGAGGCAGATGGTGGGGGTGGTGGAGGTAGTGGGGGTGCAGCCACAGCCGGGAAGCAAGGACCCTATGTGTGTTTGGGGGGTGAGGGGACTAACTCCACATAGCTGATGGGAGGGGGAATCGGTGTTGGCCTTTGAGAGAGCCCTTCGGACAGGGGAGAGAAAAAAGAAATCAAGTGGGCTGACGTTCGTTTTAGCCTGGGAGCCTCGGCTGCATGGACAGGATCCCCTGTAGTTTGAGGGTCCCAGCACTGACCAGCCCAGGTCCTGCCAGCCCCAGCTCTAGAGCTGGCTGACCAGACCGTACTCCAGCGGTCCCCACCCCCATCCCGGGGTCTCCTTCCCTCCCGAAGCCGGGCGGCGGAAGGAGGAGGGACCGAGTGGGGAGCCTGCAGGGCCTGGCGATCGGTTGGCGGGGGCGGCGCCCGGCTGCCGCCGGAGCCGGTCCTCCCCACCGCCACCGCCGGAGCGGAGAGCACCCCGCGCAGGAGAGCGGGGTCGAGCCCAGCACTAAAACGGCATCCGCGGCCCGGCAAACCCGCCTGGCCGCTTCTCCCAGCGTCGGCGGCGGCCAGCCTCGAGCACGGCGCCGGGCCCCCTTGGCCCAAAGCGCCAACTGGCCGAGCGGTTGCCGGCGGTCCGCAGTTCTCCAGCGCCCGCGCCCCCTTGGGTGCGCTCGACTCGCAGGGCGCGGGAGCCCCCAAGCAGGCTCCCCGGAGTCCCTCGGATCCGCCGGACGCAAACACGTCCTCCAGAGTTTCCTGCCGCCTTCCCGGGTCGGAGGCCGCAGCCTGGAGCCTGGGCCCGCCCGCCCAGTCCCTCGGCTCTCCCCAGCAGCCCAGCCGGAGGGGCCCCTCGAGGCTTGGAGGAATCGAGGCTCCTGGAGAGCGTGCGTCCCAGGTGGGAGTCCCTACTGGCGGGCGGGACCCCGGCCCGGGGAGGGCCAGCAACTTTCACCGAAGTCCCGGGCGGCAGACCCACCTCGCCGGCCGGGGTAGGTGGCGGCGCGCCTCTCCGGTCCCGGAGTCTCCCCTAAAGAACGCCCCCCGCAGCAGCCCTGCTCCGTTCCTACCTCGGACCAGGATCCGGCGGCAGTAATCCGGGTCGGCTGTTGAATTGGCTTTACTTTTGTTACAATCTTCCTGGGCGCCCGACGCAGAGAAGGCGCCTTGCGGCTCCTTGAGGAAGGCGGCGGGGAGGTTCCCCTCCGCGCCCTTGCTCTCCCGGCTCTCCTTGTGCGCGTTCTTGGAGACCCGGGCGGCCTCTGTGTCCGAGTGGCACCGAACGTCCATTTTGTCTGGTTTCCCGAACATAGGAGAGGCACGAGCAACAACAACAAAAAAAGGCGAGGGAAGAAAAAAAAACCAGGGGGGACAAAACCCCTACGATACAGCCCTTACGCTCGGCCCGGAGAGAGGCGAGCGGCACGAATGAATGTCCCCGCGGGGCGGCCGCGGGCGGGTCAGCGGCGACCGCCGAGTGGCGCGCTTGCCGAGAGGCGGCGAGTCTGGTCCAGGATCCCGGCGGAGCAGCGGCGAGGCCGCCTCGTCAGCGCCCGCGTCTTCTGAGCACGTCCAGTGTCCCCAGCTTGGCGATCAGGTAGCGAGCAGCGCAACTCCGAATTGCTGTGGCTCCCGCCTATTACTGAGACGTGGAGTTGCCGTTGTCCGACACCCGGGGGGGACGCGCACTCGCTGTTGCAATTGATTACGGGTAATTTCGCAGCCCCCACGTTTCGGTTACCTCATGAATACACTAAATTGTTTGGATAATATATCAGATCGTAATGGATGGTTTCTGTCCTTGTCCCCAATCAAGTAGGGGTTTAGCCAGTGAATAAACGGAAATGATTGGTCTTGCTTTCAGGAAACACACAATCAAAGACCCATACTTCCAGAAAAACTTTTGACAAGATTCATCCTGAATTGTTAGTACCATTAGCAGGCATTATTAACTTTCCCTTTGCCTTTGACCCTCCTGCTCACACACCGGCTAGAGGGGCTTTCTCCACACTCGACAGATAGAGCTGAATGGTGGGGGGGCGGGGGGAGGAGAAACAAAACCCCTTACACACCCTCAGCAGAAGAAAGCCGTCGCCTCTAGGAGGGGGGAAAAAAGACGGGGGAAGAAGGAAAAGTTTTCCCCAAAAGTATCTCCCCCACACTCTAAAAAGCCAAGCTTTCCTCCCAAACAACTCCTTAACACACCTCGACGCTGACAGCCATCTTAAGCTGCCACCTCTCTTCGTTTAGTTCCAGTTGGATTTTTCATGCCCGCACCTCCAGCAGCCCTGAGGCAGCGCATTCAAAGGGCAGCTTTGTGCTCAGAGTCCAGCAGGAGAGAGGGGGGGAGAGGGAGAGACAGCCGCGAAAATCTCAACTGTGAGATCTGCTTCAAAAAAAAAGTTTTCCCCTAGCTATTTCATTGTCTCTGCTACAATATCTTTGAGAAAAGCAACAGCCAGTAATCCAATAAGAGCATTGATTAGGCCACAATGATTCAATTCAAGCGCATGGCCTTGTGCAAGGAGCATGCTCCAGCCCTTCTCGTCACCTTGCCGGGGCAGAAGCCCTCTCCACGCCGCTCTCCCCATTCATTCCTTTATGGGAAATACGGAGCAAAAGGAGTGAAAGATGGCAATTATCTAATTGGACTATTAACAAACAGTCCTCTGAGTGCGGCGGTCTGGCGTGGCTCCTGGGCGGGGGAAGGGCCGTGTTCCTGCCCTCATTCACAAAGAGTGCAGGGGCCGGGGAGGAAAGGGGGTTTTTTAAAGGGAGTGGGGCGGGGG